TCCACTGCCTGGGAATAGCATTTTGGGACAGGCCGTTTGCGACCAGCGAACTCCAGAAATAGGGAGCTGACGTTTATCCCAGCTGAACAGGGAGCATACAGAAGGGGAGGGAGGGGTTGAAGCAGCCCTGCCTCCTTCTCAGGGAATCACAGGTTGCTTCCTAATTAGCCAAATGTGTAAAAGCTAAATATTGACATCGCGTTGCGGCTCCCTGTGTCTTGCCATCACATTGCATGTTATTAACCTACATAATGTCAGGGAAAGGAGCATCTGTGTGTGCCTTGGCACAGGCAGGGATGGAGAGACAGGAATTCCCCCGTGCAGCGCTGCTGGTGGGACCTGAAGGAGCTGGGAAATGGATTCCCCTCTGCAGCTGGAGCTGGGGAGAGAGAGAAGCTCGCTGGGCTGCCCTATAGCATAAACACCCACCCTTCTCTTCCTGAACACTTGGCTGTAGGGAGACACTGGTTTCAGCTGGGAGGGGCTCTCTGCAGGTGAGCAGCCCCATTTGGGAGGGGTGTGCAGGTACCTTTGGTCCTGTGCTGGTGGATTTGGGAGTGGTGGTGAGTTTACAGCCATGTGTGGGCCACAGGGTGGGATCTGTGCTGCAGCGAGCCGGGGCTGGTGCAGGGCTGGCATCTATGGGAGCTGCTTTCCTCCCTGCAAACTGCTTCATGTGAGTCTCAGAGTTGCCTTTGCCAGAGCTGTTATTTGTGGAACATCCCAGCTGCTTGGCTGAACACAGACATCAGCCTCTCTGAGGGACTGTGGAGGGAGTGCCCTGCTGAGAGATGGGGCTGCAAAGAGGGCAGGGATGATGGAGCCCAGCTGCCCTGCCTGCCATGGGACACAAGGAGGCCCAGCTGCCCTGCCTGTGCCACTGCCAGCCTCCTGCTGAGCCCTCACATGTGTCTTCATGCAGTGTGGCTTGCTGCAGAGGAAGGAGATGTCTCCTTTCCTGTCTTTCTGCATGGGGAAAAGGATTGCTGGCATGTAGGCATCTCTCTCAGCTACAGGGTGCTGTCAGTGCCTCACCTTTTTTGCCTTCCTTTTGGCTCCCTGGCTCAGGGAAGTCCTGCCACCATCTGAAAGGCTTCCTGGGTGTGCACAACCTTGTGCAGCTGCAGCAAAGAGCAGCCTGCTGAGGATTCCTGGTGGGATGGAGGGGGTTGGAGCCAAGCAGCTCAGCACAGCTCTGCTGCCTCTTGGCTGGGGCAGGCAGAGCTGTTCCCTGCCAGACTGAAGGCCTTGTCACAAGCAGCTTGTGGGCTTTGGCAGCACTTTAGGCAGGAGAGAAATCACAACAGGCTGCTCTGGCATTCCAGCCCTGGCTCCATCCCCTGCCAGCCCCCACAGCTTTGGGGCTCCCCACCGTGCAGGGGGCTGGGGCAGTGCACAGCTGGGCTGATGTGCCAGAGGCAGGCAGAAGGGACAGCTTCCATCCCTGCCCTAAACGTGCCCTGGTGGCAGACACTGCCTCCCCCACTGCACAGTGCCAGGGCTCCCCTCTGCCCTCCCAGCACGCTGGGAGCTGGTGCCCTGTGTTGCTGCTCACTGGCCAGGGTGGGAGGGCACTGGGAAAGGTTACTGGTGTATCCTGGCCATGTAAGACATTCCTGTGTCTTCAGAAAGAAAGTGCTGGAGGGCATCAGCTGGTGTGAGACAGCTCTGGCCCAGGCCACTCTCTCCCTGCCACTGGAGAGGGTCTAGGTCCAGGTGAGGAGCTGAGTTTGTGTAAAACATCCCACAGACAAAAAACCAGAGTGAATTCATACATTTGTTGGCCTTTAACTGTGAGGATGATTTGTTTTTCTGCAGAGCTGTGTATCTATTCATTTTATGGTGAGGAGCAGAATGCTGTTGACTCCTTTTCCCTCCTGGAATATTGCTGCCCCTCAGCAGGAATGATGAGGGCTGTGCACAGCTCCTGACCATGGGCAGAGCTGCTGCTGAGTGGATCTGCTCTGCCCAGGGTATTTTCTCCTCTGGAACTAATGTGATTGCTGAGATCCTGCTGGAGCTACAGATTCCCACTACTAGGCCAGGCTAGTTAAATAACCCTCCCCTTTCAAAGGCTGTCAAAGCTGTAGTAATACTTATTAGGCTGGTTTGAATCATCTCTTGAAAAGGTCTCACATGACCATTGAACATCAAACTGTTCTGTATTCAGACCCCAACCACCCGGTCTCCTGAGCCAGACCATAATGTATGCAGGGGGAGGCTCCAAGAAAATATTTAAGATGGTCTGCAGTGCTGTGGGTGAGACCTGACTTCTCCATCCTACGTCCTGTGTACATTTCAGAGTGGAACAAAGGACTTTGTGTGGAGCAAGAATGCTCTGTGATGCTGATAGAGACACTGAATTCCATCCCTGGGATGTTGGGGAGTGCTGGATGTTCCCTTTGGGAATTATCCAGAAGTGACTGGCCTGAAAACCTTTGCTTTGAGGGAAGATGGAGTAAGCCAGACCTGCTGCCCACCTGCAGTGGTGCTGCTGCTGTGATGTGCCATGATGGATGCTTCTGGCTCAAGGCTGGGCCCTTGAGTGCAGCCTTTGTCCACATTCCCAGCACCAGGCCTGGTGAGCCTGTCCCAGGAGAAGTCCTGAGGCCCCAGGCAGAGAAAATGAGCACTTTCCTCTCCAGGCTGCTCTGGCCTTGGGCAAAGAGGCACAACACTCACTGCTTTTCCCAGTGTCTTGCTGGCACCTACCTAGGACAAAGAGGGAAATTCCCTTCCTCCCCAGAGGCCTGAATCAAAGGACTTCAGCCAATGCACACTGCCAGGAGCTTGTCACATTCGGTGATCCTGACCTATGGGTGTTTTGGTGCACTGCCCAGCTCCTCCCAGGTGGGTGCTGTTCCATGGAGGGGGTAGAGATAAGTCTAATCCAGTGCTGGAAGCTGCCCAGGCTCCCCAGCAGAGCTGGTGATAGCTGGAAATGCTGTGCCTGGGAGGCAGGGACCTGTGCCTGGGAAGAGAAAGGCAGAGGATTTGTTGACACAGCTGCAGGTGAAGGCACAGTTGGTGTATTGCCTCTGGGAATTCTGACTTGCAGGGCTCCAAAACAGAAAGCAGCAGGACTGAGACAGACTAGATGTCCCCAGAGCATCCTCTGGCCCAAAGTCACCTCCTCCTGCCTTTATGGCCAGCAGCTGTGTGACAGTGGTGACATGAGCAAAGCTGTCTCAGGGCAGGTAGAGGGACACAGGGAGATCTGGGGGCCTCAGGCAGCAGGTTTTGGGAGGATGAGCCCTTCCTGCCATTTCCTTGTGTCTGCAGAGGAGCTGTGGCCCTGGGCACGGCATGCATACAGTCCATAAGGTTATGCAGGGCCAGCTGAGAGGCACCCCATGCCTGGAGCTCTGTGCTTAATCAAACCAATTAGCAATTTAATCTTGTTAACAAACCAAGATAATTGCAGCATTATCAAATTAGCCGGCTGTATGGAAATGCCTGCTTAATAGCTGATAATGGCTGGTGCTGGTGCAGGAGGAGGGCTGCGGTGTGTGACCGATGAGCGCGGGAGGTGCAGCCAGGCTGCTCTGCCCCGGCCAGTGCGGGATGCGGGGATGGCTGCGGGAGCGCCGGGCTCAGCCCCTCTCAGCCCCGGCTTGTGTGGCACAGCTCTGCCTGTGCACAGCGCTGGGCTGCTGTCAGGGAGAGTTTTCCCCTGCAAGGACCCTACACTGGGCAGAAGCATTGTCTGGTTTTACACTGGCTTTGGCTGATGAGCTCCCAGTTCTTGCTCTGCCTGTCCCTGCTGGATCACCGGGTGTTTTCAGCCGCATGAGCTCTCCGGTTCTCTCAGCCCTCCCGTGGCCAGGCTAAGCAAAGAGTTGTTTTTTTCACCATAGGGCTTCCTCCTTCTCAGTCAGAATAATTTCTGAGTCTTGCCTCCTCCCAATTGCTCCACAGAGATGTCACCTACATAGACGTGACCATAGAAGGACTCACTCCAGCAGATGCTCTCCCCAGTCTCAGCCAGGAAGTTTCCAGCATCTCCCATGGACCGTGCAAGGTGTCAATCCCACAGCCAGAGTCTTCATCCTGCAAACACTTGCAGATGGTTTAAAATCTGGCCAGCTGGTGCTGCTCTGCTCGTGCCTGGCCATGGGGATCATTAGCCCAGCTCTTACACAGCAGCAGCTCTTCTCTCGGTGTGTGCAGACAGAACAAGCTCCTCCCCAGTCTGGGCTGGGACTGGTTGTTGAGAATGGGATATTCTCAGCAAGCCTGGCATCAGCAGTGGGCTGGGGAGGGCTGGCAGGCTCCTCTGAGCATTAGGCTGGGTGATGCTCTGCCCCTGCGGTGGATGGTGGCACTGCCTGCTTGTGCCACGGCAGAGGCCAGCAGGTCCCTCGGGCTGCACACACTCTCTTCTGCTGATGTTTGTTGGCATTTCCTGAAGTTTTGTCCCCAGCACTCAGCTGTACGAAAATTATAGGAACCCCTTGGAGCTATGATTTTATTGCCCTGGCTTGAGGCTTTCCCAGGCAAGATTCTTCAGCTGAATTTTCCCCACCAGCTCAGGTTCAGTGAGGGGTTCAGCACCAGCTGGGGTTTGCGCCTGTGTAACCCCATCCTCTGCTCTCCAGATGAGCCCCAAGCAGGGTATTCATAGGGGGGCTCTGCCTTCTGTGTCCCCCTGGGCAGGCAGGGTCAGTGCCCTTCCACAGCCCTGTCCAGCTGGGAGGGCCTGGAGCACATTCTGCTCTCCAGGGCCCCTTGCAGGCTTCCAAAAGCAACCTGGCACGCTTTGTTCCAGTCTCTTGCCATTGCTCTCTCCTCCTGGAGGCTGTGTGCCTCTGGATGGATTTTGTCCCCCAAGCCAGCCCCTAACCACACTGTGGGCGTGAAGACAGATTGTTTTCATCCTCTTTCCCCAGAAGAAGAAATTCTGAGGTGAAAGCAGCAGTGGGACGTTGTGCCAGGATGGAGAGAGGAGGTTGGGAAAGGAGTCACACATCACAAACGCCCTTGGAAAAAGCCTTTTTTATTTGCTAAAAGAGTGGTGAGGGAGAGGGGAAGGGGGTGGCACAGAGCAGCAGCTGTCACAGAGCGATCCTGGAGCTGAGCTGGGATGGCAATGCTGAGATGACCCTCAGAGTATCCTGGAAGCCGGAGCTCACACTGGGAAAGGGAGAGAAGGAAAGAAGCTGGGTGTGGTGCTCCCCCCAGCCCCATCAGTCACCCTGCAGGACGGAGGGTCCTGGCAGCCGGGCACAGCGCCCTGCCCAGCGAGCCCAGCCGTGCTGCCGTGAGCAGCCGGGGCTGCCGAGCTCCTACCGTAGGTGACGGGGATTTTGGGCGGCTTGGAGATGCATTTCCTCCCGCAGAAGGTCTGGCAGCACTTCTTGCCGCGGGGGCAGTGCCGGTCGGTGAGGCAGTGGTTGGGTGGGTTGTGCAAGGCGCAGATGAAGCGCACGGGCGGGCAGGACCAGGCGCTGCCTGCGGCAGGAGGGATGGCTTGGCTCCGGGCAGCGGGGGGCACCGGGCAGGTGCTGCCCGGCCAACACCCCTCTCCCCTCCCACATAAACACGGCTCCTCCGCAGCGCCTGAGCTTTGCCTCCCCGTCCCTTTTCCTCGGGCATCTCCTACCTGTTGGCAGTTCTGCCCAGAGGATGAGCATCCCCACCAGGAGGAGGGCGGCCACCGCCTTCATGCTGCCGTGTCCCGGAGAGGTGCGAGCGTCAGAAGTGGGGGACAGCGACATTTAAACCCTTGGGGAGGGTGGGGCTGGGGAGCGGGGCTGGGCACGGGCCAATGTTTGCACATTTTTCCTCTGCCGGTTGCGTTGTGTGTTCCAGAAAAGCCTTTTGCGCAAGGTTCAGATGGGATTGTTTGGTTGCTCAAAAAGCAGCTACTGCATTGCACAACTGACCCCTGCAGCCACACCTGGGGCTGAGGGACAAGCCAAGGGGAGATGTGCCAGGGCATTGTCCACCCTGGCAGGCAGTGGAGCTGCTTTCTCCCGAGCAGGTATCTTCTCCAGGTATCCTTTTTCAGGAGAAACCCTGGTGGTGACTGTGTTCTCCTCTGGGGGGGTCTGTTAAATGGGTTTCCCTCTGTACTTTGCTTGGTCCTGCAAACCAAACCTTACAGCGTGATCCAAATCAGCATGACACTGCCAGTGCCTCCCCAGGGATGAGCCTTCAAGTTTTTTACCTTGCCCCAGCCCCAAATCCTCCTTACTCCTGTCCTACTGGGAGTATGAGTTGGTGTAGGGAAAGGAGCTTGGGCTTAGCCCAAGGTGAGTCTTTGTCACGCTCTGTGGGAATCACCTGAATCCCAGTATCTTCTGTGGTGGCTTCTGCCACATAGGAATCGGGTTGGTGCTGGAAGAAAGTGGCTGACCCCTCTGGGGTAGGATAACTCACTCCTTATAAACCTCTCATCAGCCGTGATGCAGCACAAGGACAACTTGACTGAGCCCTAACTCTTGCTGGCTGTAGGGATTAGGGGCTGTGTTCCCTGTTTGGATGGCAAAGGTCCCACCACCCATTTCTCCCTCCCAAGGAAACTGTAACCCTGCCCTGGCCTCCAGGTAAATCTGTTTTCTTTAGGTGCCCTTGGGCAATGGGAAGTTACTCCATTCCCCACCAATTGGTCAATGTCCCACTCAGCTTGTGTAAAGGGTTCCTGAAATATTTCTGTGGGACTCCTGTGGCTGGCAGGAGCCCAGGCTGTCCGGGAAACATGCTCTGGGAATGCCTGGGTAGAGCAGGACTCCCACAGCCAACCTCCCCCAGTCCTGCAAAGGGCAGCCCCTGATCTTGCAAGGAGGCAGGGACAAAGAGCAGCAAAAGCCCAGTATCACCTCTACGTGCTCCGTGCAGCCCCTGAGCCCCCCAGAGCTGCACTGATTCAGCCCCTGGTGCTGCCACTTCCCATTGAGGGCATAGTGAGTGTGTCACTGTGTCCTTTTCTGCTCAGACTTCTGTTCTCAAGTCACAATGGGCCCTGTTAACTTCACCTCAACTAACCTGCTATCTGTTCATTATTGTCCAATTTCCCTGTTTACTCTGGCTGCATTTAGCTCTTTGTGAAGTCATTTATTAAATAACATGCAAAAAGATTTTCTGGCCTCTGCGCCAGCAATGTAGCACTTCTAATGAGGAATACAAGCACAGGAATAATTTTTAAGCAATCCATTGCCATTCAGCTGCTGTTGGGGCTGGAGAGGACATTGCTGTGCTCCCAGCTGGTGCCAGAATCTGGCTGAGGTCGTACTTGGACCTATGCCTCCAAGGGAGGAGAAAATATCAAAGACCAAGGCTTGGATTAAGCTGCAGAGAAGAAGGGAGGGATGAGAGAGGGAAAGAAATTCACCTGAACAGCATTCTGTAGTGGTTTACTCACAGCAGGGGGGAAAGTGTGAACTCTTTTTGTCACAAACCTGCATGAAATAACCAGGACCCAGCATTTCTGGGCACAGGATTGCCTGCAGTCCTCATGCTGCATTCTGTTACCTGTGCAGCACCCATTGCCTCAGCACTGCCCAGAGCAGTCCCCATCCCACATGGCTCATGCTCTTCTCCATGAAAACCACTTTGTTTCCCTCCTTCTGAAGCTGCAAGGACCCAGCTGTGCAATGCTTGGGGGTATGTGGCAGATGCTGCTTTCTCCGAGCCAGGTTGTACTCCCTGGGAAGGGAAAGGATGGAGACCAGCAGCCCCTGATCCCCCAACCTTACCTGGGTGCACAAAGCACCCCAAGAACAGCTGTGCCCCACCAGGTGATGCAAAGCTTTCAGCCTGATGATGAGCTCCATCCATCCATCCATGATCCATCCATCCATCCATCCCTCCATCCACGATCCATCCATCCCTCACCCATCCACCCATCCATCCATCATCCACCCATCCATCCATCCCTCCATCCATCCATCCCTCCATGCATCCATCATCCACCCATCCATCCATCCATCCCTCCATCCATGATCCATCCATCCATCCCTCACCCATCCACCCACCCATCCACCCATCCATCATCCATCCATCCATCCATCCATCCATCCATCCATCCATCCATCCCTGGCTCAGGGAGCTCCCCGCAGCCCCGGGCCAGCCCCGCCGTTCCGCTCGGGGTTCCCGGGAGCAGAGGGTGCCCTCAGCCCAGCCTCACCCTCCCAGCGCTGGTGTCTGGTGCCACCTAGTGAAGAGCCATTGATGGGGCTCTGCAGCAGGCTCGGCCCTGCTCCCAGACAGGATCGGGAAAGGGCTGTGTGGGAGCAGCCTCTGCAAACACAAAGTATGTACAGACCTCTAAGTGGGACCTGCTCTGTGCACAGGTACCCCCAGTCCAGCACTGCCAGACACCTCCAGCCCAGAGAGCAAGTTAGAGCAAGAGGAAACCACAAATTAGAGAAACGATAAATTCAGTAGCAAGCCAAATAGAGCACGTGTGTAGCTGGAAATTTTAGTGATGCAGAAGAGCCATAAGTTTCATATGTCAGACATGTATTTCAATTCAAATAGTCCTTAGAAAAACCACAAACTGAAAAACATACTGACATAAGAACAGATATAACAATCAGGTATGAAACATATTTGCAAGAGACAAAAATACTTTGTAAAATACATATACAGAAGACTACTGAAGAACACTCTACATATATGGAGAAGGATGGCATCCCTGCCCGGCACCTCCTGGAAGAAAAGCAAGGGACACGGTCACTCCAGTCAGGCACAGAGGGCTGTTCCCTGTGCCCCCAGGCTGGGACACAGGCAGAGCTGGACTCTGCTGCCAGCACTGAGCCTGCCTGGGAC